CCAATCAAAGCTCACCACAGGGTTTGAGCCAAAGTTGGCATGTCCTGTTGTCCAGTGGGTTCTTGTTCCAACCTCGGGTCTCTCAGGCATGCGTTCTCCTTGACGACGCACCACGTTGTTTCTGTTGTGCTCATGTCACAGGGAAGAAATGCTGAGTTTTATTTAACTTATTTTTTTGCAGGCTGCAGAAAACTGTGTGCACTCTTTAGTATCAAAATTCAACGTTCGGTTTTTAAAAACTCAATTATTTGTTTTTGTAGGACCTGGTTGGAACAAAAACCTGTACAGTGCCGGAGCTTGAGGACCGGAGTTGAGAACCACTACGCTAAATCTTAAACACACACACACACGCATACACACAAACACTGATACATACATGCACACACACACACTCACCTACACCTGCAGCATAAAACATTGAGGTACTGGAGAGAGGTGGTACGCAGCATGTCTGGACCAGAGCGTCAGATGCTACAGAAGTGTGTTTTCATTTTCTATGTGTTCGACTTGTTTTGAATTGTTTTTATTTTTGTAAACAATTTCTAAAAAATAAACAGACAAGCAAGCAAACAAAAACACCCCAGAATATTCTTTGCACTGTTTTCCACGATTAACTCCAATCTATTTTTGTTATGAATTGACGGTGTATTTTGTTTTTCCTATTATTGCTAATGTAAGAGCTGTAAAACATCTGAAACCTGCAGTATATTAATGTATACGTATCGCTGTTAGATCATTCTTCTTGTGACGGTAATAACTTCCATGTAAGTCTACGCTTAATATAATGTCGTCCATCCGTGTCAGCCGTCGGCAGGTCCATCCGCTTCAGTGCTAGAAAACCAGTTGGGAAGAACAGGGCTGGTGTGTTTTTAACGTCCTCCATCTTGTTTGATGCGAGTACAAAGCAGCACGCTGTAAACTCTTCTCCCCGCTAGTTCTCCATCCTGGATCTGTTGACTTGTCATTGCAGAACTGTTTTGCTTTGTCTTGAAATCTCTTATCTGGGGGACCTCTCTTCAGAGAACATAACAGAAAACGTCTCAAATTTGCTACTCAAAAATATTTTAAAAACAAGTTTTGACAGGATTGTAAAATAGGAAGAAAAAAAAAAAAGACTTTTGTATTAACTTAAGTTTCCCAGAAATGTTTGTAATCGCAATTAAGAAAGCTGCAGACCAAGGAGCTACATGTAAAGATTCTTCAGATATTGATTACACTGCGCTGTTTGTTTTTATGACCAATCATTTTGTTGGCTTTACTCCTCATATTTGTGTCTGTGCTTGTATATTTTTAGGTAGTCATTTCTGTAAAAGTCATTCTATGTATTCCTCCCTAGTATTATGAGAAACTCAATCTAATGTAAAGAGATTAAAATCCTCTTCTTTTTTTTTTTTTTTTACGTGATTATTAATGGTACAATCACTGATAAAAAGAATTTTGCCCTCATTTTAGCAAACTGTATTTATTTTTCTATGTATTGACATTCTGTTTAGGTCCAACCCACCTGTACTATACTCATGATATATGTAGAAGTTTGTTGGGCTGCTGAGTCAGTTAACGCTAATACCGGCCATTCCATCACACGTGTGTGTGTGTGTGTGTGTTTTTTTTTTTTTTTTGACATGTGGCTCCCAGTTCTGGCCGGTTCAACTTGTCAGCTGAACTGAAAATCAATAAATAACCACATTTAGAGAAAGTATTGAACTCTAAGTTAGCCTTATTTTTCCGTTATGTCGCTCAATTTTAAGGTGAGTGGTCCTGATAAAGAGCCTGGAGTCCATAGATGCTGGGATTGTTCCACAATGGAGCAGTCCTCACTGAAACTTGATCAGATTTACCTAAACCCTCTGATGTTTTGTTGGATTTTTTTTTTTTTTTTCCAGATACATTTCAAATCTGTAACCAATGAGTGAAAAAAAATGCAAAAGTAAATTTTTCTTTCATGAAATTATGCTGACCATTGACATGACACCTTATGCTGAGGAGGGGACCCTCTAAGCTTGACCTCTTCCTGTTTACTCATCACCCAGCTCTTGGATAGGAATTTCCAAACTCACCCAGCAGGGGTCTCCTAGAGCACCAGGACAGACTGAGCTGTCAGAAATCCTCCACCATTATATCTGACAGAAATGCTGTTTGTAAATCTACACCGAGCTGCAGGCTATTGTTTCTAAGCCCTTACTTATCGTCTCTTGCGGCCCTATAGTGTATCTACTCAGCAGGCCGACGCAGAATCAATCTGGGGGGAACTTTTCAACACCCTGTGTTTCCTAAGTTGACATCATTTAGGGAATAGGGGTTTGTGAAATGTGAGACAAAGCTGAAATGGCAATTCACCAATAGCTGGCTCCTGTAGCACCTCACCATAGGGGTGATTTTATATCTATATTTTTTGCCAGGTTTCTGTCATTGATAATTCATGTATGGTATCAATAAAGATGAATTTTCACTGAAAAACTTGGTTGTTATTGGACTTAGCTGTGCATCTGTGAATGTGATGTCAACATGTGTTTTTATCATGCTGCACTGCTCCTAACAGGATAATCACAGAAAAAGACTAAAAACACTGACATGTTCTTCAGTAATCACAGGAACCATTTACTCAAATACAGTGGTGCGCTGTGTATTTTATACCTGGGCCTTCAGTGCTGCCCTACTACAGTTCAACCACCTCCTAAGAACCTCATTATGACGCCACAGCTATTATTGTGTTCATGTAAAAACCGCATATTCACATAACACTGCAACATTTGACAGGTGAAATAAAATGTTACATGCAGCTCGACACCTATACACTAACTGCAGAGTGTCAGGAAAGACAAGTCGGATAAAGAAAAGATAAGGGTTTATTGTGAACAAAGGATATGTGATGATAAATTCTTCAGAGTCTTTGGCGCTTGGACTCTACAAGGAGATTTGTAACGGAGGGGCGTCTGCCCGGAGCAGCAGCAAGATAAATCCTCCCGTGGAGTCCAGACACTGGTGGTAATGAGGCTGATAGAATGAGTTGATGAAGATGATGAATCTGCAAAGATTGGGGCGGAGATGGGGAGGTGGAGGGTTGCGTAACAGCAGCATGAATGTACTGACGGTAGAGAGACAATCCTATTTAAAAGAGACAGCAGCAAGACTTGGCTAACCAAGTGATTGTGTCGCTCTTATCATCTAGACAGCTGATATGATTGACAGCCCCGAACAATGACAGCAGGGAAACAATGAGCACGCATGAGGAGTGATTGGCAGATGTATGAGAAATAAACTAGGGGCTTAGGCATGTAAGAGTATAGTCTTCCTGACTGAACTTACGCTAGAGCTTCATAAAGAATGCAGGTCTATCACTATGATGCAGCATGACGGGATGCTTCGTCATTAACGGACAATGCATAAAGTCAAAATCAATGTAATTAACACAATGACAAGAACAAACTCACAAGAACATATACTTATATGACAACAAAGCAGGTAGAATAACAAAACCAAAATAACATGATTCAACAGGCCTCTGCACATTCCAGCAAAACTGCGGTGCTAAAACACACATCCCACCACACACTCAAGGGCACCATTCAAATGTTATTCACATCAGAGGGAACAATGTTAACCAGATCATGAAAACCACACTATGGAGAAATCGCTACTGCAGATGTAAAAAAATACAAAAGCAGTTCACTTACCAAAGCTGCTGTTTAAATGTGTTTGGTAGATTTTGGGATTGTCACATGCCAAACATGCCAAAACGCTAAAAATGTAATGCCACGTAAAAACGTCTTACATATCTTTAAACTTTAACTCTTACTACTACAAAGTACTGCTAGCTAGTTTCACAACAGTCACGCTAGCCCACTGACCAATCAAGCCGCACGTTAATGCTGACGTACTTGTAGGCCAGCTAGCAGGCTCTGGCACATCAAAGAATACGCCCAACATCTCAAACATAAAATCTGATGACAATCAACAATATCGTCCCCATTTAATTTAACTGCAAAGGGTTTCACTTGTGATGCTGAAGGCCTCCGGGCAGTTCTTTTTACTTAGAGACAGCATAGGGGCGAAATCTGATTGGATATGACGCAACTGAGGAAGACAGTGGCTATGCAATGAGATAAAAAGCTAATGGGAAAAATATTTAGAATACATGTAGTGTATTTTTGAAAGATAATTAAATTATAACATAGCGATAGCTTTGGTATACTGTCAGTGTCTAGGCCAGCAGAGAAGGCCTTGAAGGCCCTGACGGCACACCACTGCTTAAATAGGCTTCGGTAAATCTGACCTCAGTGGATTCTTAAAATCACCAGCTCTTGCAAAGAAAACATGGTCCAAAAAGTTTTTCTTGTCATGCAAATGGTCATGTGAGCTGTACCCAGTACAGTTGTGTTTACTAAACTGTCTTATTGCGACAGTTTGAATTGGAATGTGAGCAAAGAGACTGCAGCCTTAGTTTCTGATTTAATAAACATCACATTTTCAAGGATGCAAGTGTGGCCTGTTTGTCCGTTCTTGGCCGGGCAGAACTAATGAAGAAGATGGCAGCCATGATGGGTGGCAAGAAAAGAGGAATGACGGAAACCGTGACAACGACCATGTATGTAATAGATATCTGATAACTAATCCCTTTTCTCTGCCAAGCTGGTGAATCAAACAAGCACCTCGGACGTCCTGCAAAACAAGACCAACCGGAGACAGAAGGGCAGAGTGTTGACAGGAAGTTTTGACACTCAAGATCATTTTTGCATTAAAATGTTTGATCCAAGAAAAGCTAAAGTTGTGTCTGGTATTTGCACATGTAAGCTAATTCTGGAAGTCGGGATCTGTGCTAAAAATAATCTCAATTTGAGTTACACTCTCTGAGAACTTTTAACCACAACAGACGATTTATGTTGTGATTTTGTACCAATTCAGCCGGTAAGTGATTATAAAAAAGTATGTCAGTCAGAGACTTCAATCCCTGGCAACGGTGTTTCTATAAATCATAACTGTGTTCACAGGTGGGAAGCCAGTAAGGGATGACGTTCTTATCACAACAACAACAGACCAACCAATAGGAGTCAGGTGGTGTTGTTGTTTCAGGAGCACAGAATCAATTAGGTCAATCACTGAGTGGCCGTGATAGTCTTCTTCACATGCCAAAGCCACTTGGTGAGAGCTCTCTTGGTAGCAGATTAAAGGATCAGCCTGTAATTGATGACTTTGGGTGGAGGTGAACCTGGGATGAGTGATCTACAAGTGACTGTGCACCTGGTAAGCAAAACAGGACACGAGGACAGACAGGTACACCCCTTTCACATCATTTGCATCAGTAGAATTGGGAAGCTAGATATACAATCATGTTCCCTTTCTTGTGAATGTGTTTCCTCTCACCGGTGTAACAGACGTGCTACAAAGAGCAGGCGGTGTCGTGATGCCGAGCAGATTGTGGACACAAGTTGACAAACAAAATTCCGTGAACAGCGATTCAAAGAACGAGAAGAGTTGTCACAGTTTCATCTCTCCCTCATCAGAGTGGTGCCTCAGTTATTGGTGAGTAAATAGCACCGTCTCCATCTTGTCCTGGTGTGGTTCTTCTTTTCCTGAAAGTAGCTTAATACTAGGAATAGTTCAGTCTGTAGAGCAATAGTTTAGTTCTAGTCTAGAGTTATACTGTATATCCTGACAATAGTGATAACATGGGGAAAACCCTCAGTTCTTTCAATAATGTCAGCTGAAATATTTTTGAGGATTTCTTGGCAACATTTAGATGATAAACTCTCAAAACTCCCTTCCCCAAGTGTATCCATCCCATCTATGTTGTCCTGCATATTTGGGCTGTGTTTGGAAACCACACCATTGCAGATATGGGCTTCGAGGTAGTTGGAGAGACTGGGTGACCGAAAAAAAATCACCTTTTTATATAGCAAGAACATATTCATAACAGTGCAATTGTTACTAGCACATCAGGCTTGGCAACCCTGTCATTTCCTACTGATACTAGAAGCAAAGTGGCAAAAATACCATTTGTTGGAAAGTAACCCTACCAATTATTGGCTTCTTTCCCACCGCTCTCCCTCTTCTTTCCCACGTCCCTCCCTCCCTCCCTGGGTGTCTCTCTTTAAGACCCTCCCTTCTCTCCCTCCCTCACTTCTTAGTGCCTGTGTTGTCCAGGCGAGCACACAGTCAGCTTCAACTTCACAGCGAGAGCAGAGCATAACAGGTTTCTAGAGGACCAGCAGAGTCCCACGCCCCCTACGGAATTACTGGAGATCAGAGCAGCGTGACTGTCCTTTTATGTCTGACCAAGGAAGGTGAGTTGACTGAGAGCAAAACAGCCAAATGATCACTCTGCTCTCCTGTGTCTACATTTTATTTCCCTCTATGTTTCTGTCCCTGCCTTCTCTGCTCTCTTTTGTCTGTGAACTCACTCTTTTACCCTCTCACTCACACCCTTACCTCGACAAGTGCCTTGACCAAGAGGAACTCCTCAGACACTTTGTTTATAGAGATGCTGTATGTACAGCAAATATCCTCAGACTGCTGTGTGTAGGTTAAAGAGGGCGATCACGTTTTAAAAAAACCAAGTAAACTCTTTTCTCTGATTAACCATAAGAGGAAGTAGATGTTTTTCAGTGGCTTTAGGGCTTTACCCTTGTTAAGTTATTTGCTTAAGAGCTACACCTATTCAAAAACATAGTTAATGATTGTTCAAATACTGTGCGGGAGTTTTCCCCTTGATCTGATAATGTTTATACTCTCAACTGCTCTGACAGACAGTCATGGGTTTGAATAAACGGAGGTGGTGCAGGTATCTGAAGCAGATGCAGCTTTTTGTGTGTTTACACCAACAGCACAGCGCTGACACCACAACCGTACGTGTTGTAATAATCCCTCATTTGTCCCAGGACTATTCCTGTAACTTTTAAATGTCAGCATATCATCCTGTTCTCAACAACAAACTCCAAAGTATCTGGTTAAGTACAGAGGTAAGAAATAGAAGCTTAAAGGTCACTGCTTTTCTCAGAAACAAAATAGGCGTTGGCTTTACATTTATATTTCCCATTTATAAAATGCCATTGTAATGTTTCTTCTGCAAAACAGCAGCAGCAGTTTGTTTTGCTGCACTGTGACCTCTTTCTCTATGACTCAGTCTGTGGATTTCTTCTGCGATCTCAAGAGTACCCCTTCCTTGTATGAGTGTGTCATTTGTATTCAGCCATTTTGTCTTTGTTTCCAGACGCATCAAGACAGATCTTGTGCCATGAGGAGATCACTCTGTTTGTCCAGCCAAGTCTTTCACCACCTGTAGACATGGGATTTTGTGAGAGCGCGGGGGGTTGGAGGTGGCAGGGCAGCGGCGGAGCGCTCAGGGCCGTGGTGGGAGTGTTGCTGCTGCGGCTCAGCCTGGCCCAGTCCGTCCCTCCACAGACTGTCTGTCCCGCAGCAGCGTCTCCACAGAGCCTCACCGAGCCCCAATACCAGCACACAGCGGAGGAGGACGCCAGTGTGGGCTTCATGGAAGCTCTGGTCCAGTCCTTCCTCCACACAGTCCAGCCTAACCCTTTTCCTAAAGGTCAGTGTCATCAGTATTAGTCACTAATCAAACACTGTGTGTCTCCTGATGTTCTGTTGCCTGTAGGACCCTGTCTACTTTGCTTTGTCCATGGCAACCAGGTGCCACTTAAAGTACATTGAAATCCTTTCACACTCACAGCTTCCCTACAAAGGTGACTCATCAGTTTGAACTTCCTCTAAAGCCAATAAGGCCAGTACAGAACGATGACAGGATTGGTTAATCAGTCAGTTAATGGAACTTCTTGTTGAGCACCTGAACAATACCTCATCTCAGTTACCTGCGCCTGTGTTTTGTGAATAATATCCAGTGCCATGAAGGCTTTGTATTGTGTTTGTGTAAAAAAACTCTCTCTTGAAATTATCCCGGTTTCCTAGATGGAGGTGTCAGATTTCCACTTTTACAATGCTAGAGATTAAAACCTTTGTACGGAGCACAGGACATATTATACCCATGGAATAGCGATTAGCTATCCCTGGCCTCTGTGCTTTCCGTTGTTCAAAAGCTTTTTGTTCTCTCGGGTTTCTTTTTAGATCTAATCCTGAAAATAGTCCAGGATTTTAATGTGCAGTTAAATCAAGAAATCATCAAAGAAGTAAGTGAATGTACATTTATTCACATATTACTTCTTTATGTGTATGTGTGTGTGTGTGTGTGTGGGGGGCACACCCTCCTCAGAGCCCCTCCAGCTGGTAATCTGACAATCTTCAATGTTAAAGCAGCCTTATGTGTATTTATCCGAGTCGACTCGAGTTACTGAGACTCTTTCATCCTCTCTGATTGTGGACAGTTTTACATTACTGTCACCACAGTAATGTAAAACTGCCTGCTGATGTCTCTCAGCGTTTGACATCACAACAGACCACAGAGACTCTTGCTGCTGTTCTGCCATCTTGTGACATGTATTTGTCTGTGTGTGTGTGTGTGTGTGTGTTTGGTATTCAGGCCCTGCTGTATGAAGTGGGGTTCCTGGTGTGTGCAGCCATTGGCGTCCTGTACATCGTTCTTATGCCCATAGTTGGTTTCTTCTTGGCGTGCTGTCGCTGCTGTGGCAACTGTGGTGGGAAGATGTACCAGAAACAGACGTCCTCCGTTCACTGTCGCAGAAGAACTCTCTACTGGACTGCATTCGTCACCACAGTCATTCTCCTGTGAGTGTATGTGTGCGTGTGTGTGTGCGTGTGTGTGTGTGTGTATGTGTGTGTGTGTGCTCTCATCTGTGTTTTTGGACAGCATAATAATGTGTTATCTGAAATTAGAATTCACATAAAGACAGCTTGAATGTGCATGCCTCACTGCCTGTGTGTTTCTCACACAAATTGAAATGTGTGTGTGTGTGTGTGTGTGTGCATATTTCCAGGGCTGGGAACATATGCATGTTCAAAAGTAACGAAGCCGTCAAAGTGAGTGTGGACCAGAGTCAAGTGGAGCTCAACAAAAGTATAGACAACATCCAGTCCTTCCTCACTGCTGTGCCTCAGGTAAGAGGACACCTCTTGATGATTAAAGAGCATGAGTATGGAAATATACAAGAGTCAAAGATCTGGGACCTCAATGTCGCAGCATTATCAGATTAGTCGCATTAGGTCCTACACACCTGCCATCAAAGTGCTGTGAGTCGACCGCTTTTGTGTGAAAAGCAAACAGACCTCCAAATTCTCCAGTCAGACTGTTTAAAGACCAGCTCTGCGCTTTGCAGTGCCAATACACTTATCTCAAGATACAAGAGAGTGTGGGGAAGGCAGGGTAGGGTTCTGTTTGTTGTTCTTTATTTGCAAAAGCTGCTATGTTTAGCTTGTGTAACCCACATCCTATGTGCACACTTTGAAATCGTTTGTATTTCCCCTGCTTATCTCCAGCAGGTCGACCATGTGGTGAATGAGAGCTACAGAACCGTACAGGAGGTGACCAGAAACCTAGACGGTAAGAACAGGGAACTAGTGATGTATAGATGGAGGAACAGCTGCGATACAATGTCTGTTCTCAACCTTGATTAACACCTCGCACCTTGTTTGTAACAAATCAGCTATTGGACCTCAGTTGGGAAGAGAGATCCAGGAGCGATTCAGAGGAACCCTGGACCCAGCGCTGCACTCGATTAGACTGCTGGAGCAAGGTACAGTGTGCCTGCATGCTCTGTCTTGTTGCAGTCTGAGCATGTCAATGCGTGTATGCATATTTGACAGGAGATCAGTAATCACGGAGGCGGGGTCCTGCTCATGAGTACATTGTCTATTTCCCTTCTTACCCTTATATATATCTTTTTTTTTATAATTCTTCAGTTGAAGTAGAATACACTTCCACGATGGAATTGTCACAGGGTGTGGTAGAGAACTCAAACGCAGACCTGGCAGAGTAACGTGAAGCAGGTGTTTATTAAACACAAATAGGAATCGTTACCATAACACAACAGGGAGCACAAGACAAGAGAGGAGGGAGAAAGTCCAGCAGGAACGAGACAAGGCAGGCAGACGGGGAAACCGGGAACAGGACCGGGAAACCGGGATCTGGCAGTGAGTGACTGAGAGGCAGGGGTTTAAATAGTGGCTAGAACAGATGAGGAGAGCTTGATTAGTGATCAGGGGCAGGTGAAGGGAGTTCGACTGGTGCTGAGGAAGTGGCTGACAGGTAGAGTGAGGAGCTACAGAAAGACACACACAGAACACAGAAGGCAAAGCCTGATCGTGACTGGAATAGGGTTTTTTTTCTAAACATGCTTCTTTGCTACAGTGAGCTGCAAATTAATTAATTTAAGAAAATTGTTAATCCATTGGGTTTTGTAATTGAGTGTGTAGGTTTGTTTTTTTTATGGCTGCAGTAATTCTACCTTTTCCAAGATGACAAATTAAGTGCTGACGCATCATTTACCGATGTCATCAACTCACTAAAAGCAGCTGGAAATATATCTCCCTCAATAATCAATCTCCGTTCCCTTTTAGTGCTCACTTTTTGCTCAGAACTTCCATTAATTTCAGCTTTTTGAATTACTTCTGATCTCAAAGCTAGCATCGAAAAAAGTCATAAAATCTTAAAATCATTGTTACTTTTTAATCATGTGCATAAACCGACTGTGTGTTTTTCATTTGTGTGAGCAGAGACTGTAAACATCAGTCTTCAAATGAACCATCTGAACTCATCTTTGACCCAGTTGCAGTCCAGCATGGACGGCCTCCAGGCCAACTTCACTGCAGTTAAAAATCAAATCAATAACACTGTATCCAACCCAAACTGCACTGGCTGTAACAACCTGCAGCCTGAGCTACAGAAACTAACACTCGACACCTCCATCACTGTAAGTCCTGATTCTGTGTAACCTTGTTTAGCAAGGGACATTTCTGTGTTTTCTTTTTGAATGGAGTCATGTCAGCTCAGGTGTTTTGAGCAAAAGAGGAGTTGGGTGTGACTGCTCAGATTGTAAACTTCCTGAAGTACAGACTAAGAATCAGCGCCTTTAATGGGTTTGACAAGACATTATCCTTATTTTTATTTCATAATTAATTGTTTATTGATTTATGCAGTCAAACTCTGACGCAGGCGGAGACACTGTGAAACATGATAATAGCTCTTCATATTTGGCTTTGTCTAAACAGCTGATTTGTCCTCTGAGTCCTCCCATCTGTTCTTCTCTATTCCTCCTACACTCTAACTCTGACACATGCAGACTCTCCTCCGCTCTCGTCTTTTCTCCTTTCCTCTCCACTCGTCTAATTTCATCTCTTCACGTCTTCTCTCCTGTCTTTTACCCTCTTCTCCTCACCTCTTGTCACCTCTCCTCTTTTCTATTCCCCCCCTCGTCTCACCCCCTCTTGTCTTATTTCTTGTCTTTACCTTTCCTCTCGTCTCATCTTCTCTCCTGTCCTTTACTCTCTTCTCCTCTTTTCTCGTCTCCTCTTGTCTTCTCTCGTCTCGTCTCCTCGTGTGGTCTGATCTCCTCTCCTCTCATCTCGTTTTGTCTCATCTCCTCATCAGTATTAAAGGGAATGTACAGAATAATATATAATCTCCATCATGACAACAAGACAAAAGAAGGGATACCCATCAATAGTCTTTGGTATCAAGCCATTTTATTGTGGCCCAGTGGCTCGTTATTATTTATCTAGGAAAATGTATATAGACTTGTTTTGCTGAAGACTGCTGCCCTCGTCTGTTAGCTCGAAGTATAACATGTCACTACATGTGACGGCTGGTCACAATGGTTTGTGTCTCGGGTTGTTCTCCACAGATTCCCAGCTTGAACCAATTCCAGTCTGCAGTGGATGAAATCAACAAAAGTGATCTCAAATCCAAAATCAAGGAGGTCAGTGAATTCTGATAAACAAATATATTGTACTTCAATCTTGATAATGTAATGCCTGCCTTATTGACACATCTGGAAAAGTGCATATACAGAGGGAAGAGTGTTGACAACTTTTAATCAAAGATAACGTAATAATTGTTTAGCTACAACAGACTTACTGGCGGACGACAACAATGCTAGTTTTTCAAAGAAAAGAGCTTGACAGGAAGACACAATTCAACTTCAACACTATATTTATTATGATATTATGAAAATGAATTCACTGTCTTTCAGGCGGAGGACTATTTCGACAGCATCCCCCAGAGGGTGACCAATGACACCAAGGATGTAGTTCAAAGTGAGTGAGGACATTAACTGTCACAGACTTTAGGCCTCTTTCAAAAATATTAGTGTCTTAATTAACTTATTTAGTTGTAAGATAAGATCAATTAAAAAAAACAAAAAAAACATATATATATATAATTGTTTTTGTGTCTCTGTGTTTTTTAGGCAGCAAGCAGCAGTTCGGTAACATAACAACACAGATCTCTCAGGTTACCAATGACATCCCTTTATCTGCTCTGACCAATGTGTCGGAGACTCTGAACCAGCTGCAGAGAGATATCGACAGAGTCACACCAGAGTTCAAGAGAGCCGAGCATATTAGGTAAAAAACCTGGATGCGCTAACACATGAGATCAATGCAAGAAAAAGCCAAAAATCACATACACGCTCACACCATGTGTGTAAACCTCTTCAGATGGGGAGTGTGTGTGGCCCTGTGCTGCGTGGTCCTCCTGGTGGTGGTGTGCAACTTCCTGGGTCTGGTCCTGGGCCCTCTGGGTCTGACACCCAAAGCAAACCCCACGGAGCGCTCCTGCGTGGCGGATTGTGGAGGCACCTTCCTCATGATGTGGGTGCTGGGTTGTAATGTCGGATTGATTTTAGCAAGAGGGGAAACACCAAACTGTTTCACCTCCTTACCGCTTGTTTGACCTCTGACCTTGATGTGGTTGCAGGGGTGCAGTTTTCAGCTTTCTCTTCTCATGGCTGTTCATGATTGCTGTGCTGCTGCTGTTCCTGCTGGGCGGAAACGTTTACACTCTGCTCTGTCAGCCCTGGATCGACGGACAACTGTTAAAGGTAGCAATAAAAAAACAAAAACACACACACTAATACCTGCCGGTACCTGGAATACAAAGCAGCTACAGACGCCTCGTGTTAATATTAATGCCTCCTCTCTCCACAGCTCATTGATACTCCAGGTTTAATTCCAGGGTTGGATATAGGTCCAACTTTGGGATTGAAAACCAACATCAGTATCTCTGCTATCTATAGGTATGTGATGCCAATTCAGCTCTCACACAGGAACAAGCATATACTCGTGTGCATGCATACACACAGGCTTGTCTCCATGTAGTTTAGTTTGATTTGCTCTGTTGTGACATTACACACCTTCATCTCAGAAAAAAATGTTTTTTCTAGTTTTTGCATTTTTTTCTTCTTTATGTGTCTAAAGTTAGTAGGATTCATTAAGCACTGTAAATTAATAAGTTTGACTTGATGTTAATGCTTACAGAGACTGTGAGAAAGACCAGCCTCTGTGGACAACACTCCACCTGTATGAGCTCATAAACCTCAAAGACCTGCTCGATGTAACTAAAGTGAGTTTCCTAACAGTCCTTTAACAGTCCAATTGCTCAAAATACATAATGTTCCAATACAATAACTTTATTCAACGCATGTTGAAATGTGTCGGTCACACACACAGCACACAGAGGAGATCCGACAGCGCTTTGAGAATACAAACATCACTCTGTCCACCATCGCTCTCCTGAGCCCTGAAGTTATAAACCAGCTCAGACGCTTCTCCAACAATGCTGCAAATATTGACTCCACTGCTGTCACGCAGCAGGTAGGCGTTATTCATCCTCATTACATGCGTCCACGCGTGACTTGACGTTGTCATCGAGTGTCCCTTGCTTGTCTCTTTCAGATGAACAACATTTCCAGCATCAATCTGAATACAACAGCAGATCGACTTGATGAGCTCGCCGCCTTTCAAGTGAGTCACATTGACATAATACATGTCATCTGTTATCATTTTAACCTATAAACACGTCACATGATTCCTCACTGAATGCCATTTATTTCTGACGCTTGTGTTTGTTTAAATAAACAACCATTTGCTTATTTCTAGAGAAACAATGATACTCGTGAAGAGCTCCAGAATGAGGCCAGGAACTTGAGGCAGATCCAGACCGATATAGAAACAATCATCATCCCGCAACTTGTGAGTAGCCTGCCCCATCTCGGCTGCCATCTCACCTAATGTCCTTATTCTGGTTTTCCCATGTTGGTCATCCATCTGAATTTAAACTTCTCCTCCTCTTGCCCTCAGAATAACCTGAACTCAACCATCAAGAGCCTTGAATCCACTGCAAAAAAAATCAATGTGAGTGCACTGACTAACACCTGAAACTGCCAAGAATAAAAGTATAGTCTGCTCTCTTTCTTCCTGCGGCTCACTCTTTCTCTCCACTCCGGCTCTCCTAGGGAACAGTGGAGGAGGTGCTGAGCAATGTGGGAGCAGCACAAGACTTCCTCGACGCAAATACGACACAGATTGTCAAGACCGTGAGTAGAGCCACGAAGTCACATGAGTTAGAAGAAAGAGTGCTCCATGTGGTCTGTTATTGCCCGTGGTCAGTCAGTCATTTAGCCAGAGGGGGGAGGGGGGGGGGGGGGGGGGGGGGGGTGAGGAGGAGGTGTGCTGCCTGCAGTTGAAACAATGTGCTCATTTTTTTTTTAGCAAAAGTTAGCCAAACGGCTGCACATACTGCAGTAGTCTGTGACTATTTAAAGCTGCGGTTCATGCACATCTGATGCTCTTGTGAGTGTTTACGTCACCACTACTGTGCACATGGGATTGACCCAAAATAAATTAAACTGTGTGTTGGTGTTCATGGTAATGAAGGAACATGTCACCCAGTGCAACGGTGTTGCTCATTGACGTGTTATAATAGTTTTTGGACAACAATGGAGCTGTATTACACAAAGGTAACTGTGTCAGAACCTTTCTGCACAGACAACACTTGTTAGTTAGATTAAGTAATTGTTGGTGGTTTTGGTCTTTTTGTGGAATTTGTTGACAGTAATATAAATATAGAATATCACCAACCTTATCCTTTCATGTTTGATGCATTATGTAAAATGGCCTCTGTGCATGAAATGTGCCGTATGAATAACCTAATTGCCTTGACTTGCCTAATCATACCACCATTGCAGTTATTTACGGGTCACTTCAGAGGATTTACCCAGAATTCCACATGCTGAGAACGAGTTGGCCAGACGTTCCACTGATTCCTCATGACCTCCCACATGAAGCAAGGAGAAAATGTGTGGAATTTACTCTTTCTCTCTCTCATAATCCTAGGAGAGCAGGAAGTTTCTGGACTGTCAGCTGGGTTACTTCATTAATTATGCTGACTGGGCCAATTTTACAGTAAGTTTTGTTCAGATTTTTACAATTTGAACACGCATACAAAGTATGTGTCCGATGGTTGTAGGTTTGTACTGTTGCTGATCTGTGTACTCTCCCTCAGATCACACAGCAGGTGGGCCGCTGTGGGCCGGTGGCGAGAGCTGTGGACTCTGTTGAGATTATCCTCTGCTCATACATAGTGGAGTCTCTGGTGAGGGTCAGATGTTGTTTGCTCCACCTACAGCTGTACATGGTGAAATGTTTGTGTTTGTCAAAATCCCTCTCTTTTTTTTTTTTACCAGTCCTCATTGTACCCATGCTCTGTCTTTTTAGAACGCGTTCTGGTTCAGTCTGGGCTGGTGCATGATCTTCTTCATCCCCAGCATCATCCTTTCTATCAAACTAGCCAAGTACTACAGAAGAATGAAGTCTTCTGATGTTTACGAGTAAGTAGCACAAACTGAAAATTACAAACATCTTCTAGATGTATTTACTAGAATCACATGACTGATTCATTTGACTGCTCTTAATGTCTCTATTTCCAGTGACCAGTTAAATATGAGTCGCATCCCGCGGGCCCAGATGAAACTCTCCTGAGAGGACGGCCTATATGTGGGTTACAGCTTTAAATGACTGTGGCATCGCTTGACTAAATGGAGACACATGGTGCACTCCTGCACAGATGTGGCACATTGTCACTCCGGTGAAAAGTTGCAAACAAAAGAAAAAAAAAGATTCTGTTTTTAACCACTATTTTTTACCAGAAGCAAAGCGACTGCAGTAGTCATACATACTGTACATGTCAATCTTTGAATTGACCTCAGGGTGACAGGGTATAAGGGAATCGGTAGGGAATTTTTCATAATTTTAAATAAACATCTCAGACTTATTATATGACATTAATGTTTTGTACGTATTTAGTACATGGACTGAGCTGCTGCTGGATTCTGAGAACATAGGCTGTATATTTCAAACTGTAAAGCATATTTTTGTGAGTTCATCACAGTTACACATTTATATACAGTGATGTTTGTGTGCAGTGCTCTCGGAGAATGCAGCAGTGTGTTACTGTGCCAACAGGCTTTTTATAATGTCCCAGCCTCTTTCTCTTCCAGTGGGAAACACTTTTTCATTAAATTGATCATCACATTTGCACTAATATTGGAAATCTAAGCACATATTTTTGTATGAATCATGAAATGAATACACTTTTTGTGTGACTGGTAGAACTGATATATACGGCTGCAAATATGTTTTTGTACATATTGATTTTTGTACTTTGTACTGCTTTGTCCTCAGTTTTAGATTGTGTTTTATATTTCCGTTACTCAGCACTTTATATGGTGAATTTAGTCAATGTGATTCAGGTGTTGTGAAAACCACTGTAAGTAAATTACCACTGATCAACAAACGAGTCTGCTGTCCATTTTTCTACCTTTTAACCGTAACATGAGTGGAATCCCAGCGATCAATCAGTCTGTTTTCCACACAAACCATGAAAGCGCTTTTCACAGTGCACATTTGTAGCCCAGCATAACCCTTTGGATCAAACATGAACCGTCATCACACTGCAACTGTAGTCGCCGGACCTCCTGCTCACCTGATCCCACTTCCGCATTTGCAAGTCCCTAATTATAACTCCTCTGTCCCTTTGTTCTTTGTCTGTTCATCCTTCCACACTGAGTTTTGTTTGCCTGTTACCTGCGTGCTATTGGAGATTCCGATTTGTAAGTTATTTCTTGATTGAATCATTTACTGCTCACATCTGCCTGCCCGGTCTGCTTTTGGGTCCTGCCCCCGATGCCTGCTCTCCAATCAACGGGATGAACCAACATGGACTCAGCGGACATTCTTTTTGAGGAAGAACTTGTGAGTGTATGGCGAGTGGAGCAGAGCCCCTGGTTGAAGTTATGGTGATGCCATAACTGTTGGCCTACACCCGTTCCTGTGTTGGGGGTCTTGAGCCGACATCTCCAAGTTCCTATGTTGGGGGTCTGGCTGACACCTGCTCCATGTGTCCTATAGGGGTCCGGCTGACACTTGTTCACAGCTGGGCCGCAGCATCCTCCTGCTCCTGTTCAGCCCTCCACTGGTCTTACCGACAGCCGTGTTCCAGTGGGCTTTTGCCAGTCAGCTGCCCTTGTTGATGCCCTGACTGACTTCCAGTTGCCAAAGTCCATTCCTGACCTCCTGCAACCCGGTCCAGAAGTCTGTCCCCTGCTGGTGCCAGATTTCCTGGTAGCAGCCAATTATCCTGATATGAAGTCTCGTCGCCAGCCTCCAGAGGGGTTCCAGTCCTCCAGTGTGGCTCTGCCCGTCTGGACCGGAGAGGTTCTGCCTGTTGTTCCGGCACACAGGCTGCCAGCTTATTATCCCTAGCTCTGCCCCTGTCCAGTCCCCAGGCAACTTACCACATTCATTACACACATCAGCCTACCTGGTCTGCGTTTGTGTCCTCCCCACGTCGCTGGCTCTGCTAGCGTGACACCTTCAGCCAATCAACATACTAATGAAATCACAGCATTTGGATCAAAGGCTGTGATTTCATTTGTATGCTCAAGTACAAATGTAATAGGCCAATGATCCTTCGGTTCATTTATAGTCCAGTCACTGGAGAACAAAAATAGGACTATAATGTACAAGAAGTATCACCACCCTCAAAGCTACCGTGTTGCTTTTCTGCAACATGTGAAAAATAAATTGACTCTAGCCCGAGAGCTCCATTAATATAAATTATTAAAATATTAGTTGTGCAGTTATCCTTTCATTGCTTGCAGCTCTGTAGCATATAGTCAAGTGTTCAGAGACAAGCAGAAGACAGAGGAACATGTAGAGCCAGCCAGCATCTATTCAGCTTCATTAGTGTCTACAGAATGCATCTATAATTAGAACAAGTGAATCAACGACATTACAGCGCCAGCGTGACTCACAACCTTGTAATATGAGACCCAGAGAAACTCAACCTGAAGAGAGAAATGTGTGACACAAAGTGAAATCAAAAGAATACAGAGGGAGGAAAATAGAGGGATTAGCTGAGGGATGTTAGGTATCAGGTTATGACTGTTTCTGCAGCCCTCTGCCCTTTTGGGAGGACTGAGCCTCTTATTACCCTGTGCATCCTCCATGGAGATACATGAGTCACTACCCTCCACACTTATACCACTGCCGTGATCATATCCCTTCACATATTCCATGTGGAACCTGCCTATTTGCTGCGAGAACCAGCAACCACACACATGCACTCTGTATGCTACCTCAGCCTTTGTTGTTTTCAGTTAGTTAGTTAGAAGCTTAATGGGTAACACCTGCACATTCCTCTTTTAGGCCCTGACCATGGAAACATGTTAGTTTCATTCCACACACGAGACTGCAGCTGTAAGTGGATTTGTCCATAGCAGGGATATGGTGAAACTCAGAAATGGGGGCAGTGGATCATGTGAATGAATGAGTGTGTGTACAAGACATGGCTAAGCTTTTTAAATCAACAGACAGTGTTTCTGGTGAGACTGAATAAGCTGTAAACAAACAGTAAGAGTATATTGGCCTTGACACGTTAGTCGTTTCAGATATAATAGCATGCGATCTGTTAACTAGACCTGTTGATCTGCAGTATCGTGAATGGAATATGCTGATTGAGCTGAACAAACTAAACTAAAGCAAACTGTGGGAGCAGGGACATGGCAGGTAGGTGAGAATGTAGTTTGACAGATGCGTGTATTGTTAATTGGCTGTCTGTTCAGTCCCAACAACACTGAATACAAGCTTCATATTTATTGCAGAACAAGCAACTTAATATGAAAAACTCCGGACAGAAAACATACGTTTTATGTACAGTTTAATAGCATACAGCATCAGGTCATAAATACTTCAATACATTTTCTTTTCTTCTCAAATAACGCTTAAGGGAGAGCGTCACCAAAACTAAACAACGTAAGAATGTAGGCGTGACATTTAGTTCCTGGAAGAATTCTTATTAACAGAAATAAGTTATGTGGCAAAGAAACATTCAACATGTGAGCAGTCAGGCCTGTTTGGGGCAGTCGGTTCCCAGAGACTCTCAGGTGAGCTGGTACACAGCAAAACCCACCGCACTGAACTGCAGTCAGTCCTGCAGATTCAACTGCACAAAGCTCGGAATGACACCATTAGTACAGCCAAGACATCAGCAGGTTTCACATTGAAATTAAAATGTCATAAAAAAGAAAAAAAGCTTTTGACTGTCGAGGCTAAGAGTTGCGATCCTCTGATCTAACTCCAGTTCTTTCTCCAGAACATGAGAGATGCTGAGGAGACCCAGCAGGAATGTGACACTGTGCTGTAAATGAATCGCAGCTGTGAAAGGCACTCTGAACTGATTGTTCTGCAGCTTTTTCAGAGTCTGATTGTTATTCAACATTTCAGAGATGTCCCAAGAGGGTCTCACCCATGCAGGGCAAAGAGTTTTAGTAGTCCTCAAAAGATTGGGACACAATAAATAACATTTTGTTTGTTTCTTTTGATTAAAACAAGATATAATAGACTGCACAACCATTAACAAGGCATCAAATACTATAGGCACTTAAATATACTTTTGTTTAGAGCACTAAATGGGAAAACATTCCTTTGAACAGATGCATGGTACAAACAATACTGACTGGGGTGATGTAAAAGTGCAATCCGTTCCAGAGCATGGAGACAACTAACAGGACCAAGAAGACCAGACAGAGGACCCAACGCCTCTAATAGCATTACCCTCACCGGGTCCATGAAGGAAGACGTGCGTGACCTTATGCAAGCAGCAGGGCGCGTTAGTCACAGCGTACCAAACCCGCACTCCAATCCTAACACAATTACCTCCAAAATTGAATTTAAAATCAAACTGTGAGTCGCTTTGACTGGGTATCACGTCTGGAATGTCCTGTGAGTCGGGCTGCGAGGGAGCACAGAGGACAAGATGTAGTCGAGAGAGACAAAATGAAAGCACGAGGCTGGAAAAGGCCGAGCGGTTTGTGTTTGGTTTACAGAGGCTACATCGAAACCAGGTTAATGTTTGAGCACTTATGATATGTTAAGTACAAACCTAGAAGTCAATAGAGGAACCTTGGACCCCCCCTACCCTCCTCCTCCTCCTCCTCCTCTCCTAAACCATTCCACACTTAAAACAAACATTCACACACAAAGGCCAGCCTGTCTCAGTGGATTACCTGCTGCATGAACAACTGAAAGGCAGCTTTGCTCGGCTACAATTAGCAGACACAAGTTACTTTAAACGAAAAATAACACGGTGCACACTCATTCGATAAATCCCCCCAAAAAAATGGGAGTTAGTGGCTTTGTTTTAGACTGAGCAGAAGAACACAATATATTATAATTTATTGATGGTGTTTTGATAAAGACTAAGCTTATTCAATGTAAGGCTATGCAATATAGCATTCTCATCCACGTGCAGTTCAGGCTTAAGAGATAAATAACATTGCAGACACAGTATATATATATATATATATATATACACACACATTAAGACTTAAAATGAGTAGTCATTTCACAGTTTTTAGTAGTCACACTTTTTAAAAACACCATCAAATGTCACAATTAACTGCATTACCTGTAACATATTGTTATTTTAATATATTTTAATTTGATTGTCAACACACACTGCTTCTAAGTTTGGTCGGATTATGTGCAGATTGTTTTACGAGACAGGTTTTTCTTTTTCACGCCGAGTGTTCGTGTCTGTGGGAATCAGACCGGGTGAGCAGGCAGTGCCACCCTGGCTCTTGGGACAGTTGTGTGCGTGGACGACTGCTGTTCGGGTGTTTCTGCGAGAGGAGCCGGGGCCATGCCGACGCCGAGAGGCGAGCCGGTGCTGGTGTCTGAGACAGACCTGGGCTGCTCCGCGGGCTGGCGAGGAGGCGCAGGAGGAGGGAACGATGGGGACTGGAGGATGTCTGCATAGCGCTGGCTCGGCTTGGTCTCCCGCTGAAGGACTTTTCTCAGCAGAGGTTTCAACAGCCCGATGGTCAACTGGCTGCTGTGGGAGTCTGCAAAGGGAGCCGGGGACGTGGAGGTTTCAGTGGACATGGAGAAGGAGGAGGAGGAGGAGGGGGAGGGGGTGTTAGGGGAGGGGGTGGTAGGGGAGGGGAAGTTTTTCAGCACCAAGTTGAGAATGGTGGTCACAGTGAGTTCCTCTGGGCACAGCGCCCACAGCATCTCCAAATAGGGGTCCAGGTCTCTGTGCTGAATCACCTCGCACAGCAGAGTGTTGAAGATCTCCTTGTTGAGCAGCGGACTCTGCTTACAGAACTTCTGGGCCACCTGGGTGACCCGCTCCCACTGCTGCTTGGCCATGAGGATCCTCAACGCCTGCAGGATGGCATTAGGCCGCCCGCTGACCAGCAGCAGCTCCACCTCGAAGTCCTGCCGTCTGTCTCTGTCCGGGGCCAGGCTGGACAAGACGCACAGGGCTCGTTTGTAGAGCGGCGCGTTGTTCTCCCTGCCCTCCCCTCCTCTCCCGACGGAGAAGCCCCAGGAGGAGGAGGAGGAGGAGGAGGAGGAGGAGGAAGAGGCCAGGCTGAGGCCCAGGCCGGCTGAGCCCTGCTGCTGCTGGGCGAGCTCAAGGAACCGGGGCAACCAGCTGGGCTGGAAGTGGAAGGCCGAGTGGCAGAGGAGCTCGAACACAGGCAGGGCAGCTGGGGGAGTGGCGCTTGTAGGTTTGGCTTTACAGTTGGCACCGTGATCACCTTTGAGGCTGTGGTTGTGTTTTGGCTCGCCATTTGCGACAGGGAGGCCGCTCGGGGTGCCGGGTGTCGCAGCGGGACTGAGGACAGTTTTCCACACGTCCGGGGGAGCCCTGCTGGACAGAGAGCCATCCCCGTCGCAGTGTAGCTGGAGGGCGGCCTGCGCTGCTCTCCACAACTGACCAGGGAAGCTGCTGAAGATGGAGTTGAGGTAAAGCAGAGCCTCTTTATCCAGCTCCGAGGCCGAGAGTAGCCTGGCTACTTCTTTCTCAACCAGACTCTCGCACACCGCCACCACCTCTTTGCTATTCCCCCTCACTAAACTCCCCTTCACCTCCTCCAGAGAGACCAGAGCCCTGAGCTCGGACTCCAGAGAGCCCGTGAGCTTGTCTTGTCCTGCCGTACATCCACCTCCCCCGTTCTGGGGCGGCTCTGCTCCTTTCTGCCTCGGCCCCGCGTTGAGGTAGTTCCTGAGGATGGACGCTAAAGAGATGGGAGCCTGGAACCGACCTCCTTTCTTCAGCGCGTCCACGGTGAGCTGGGTGCTGCTCAGGCTCCTCTGCTGGTAGTATTTACAGGCCTCCTCGAAGACGGCCTCTACCAGGAGGGCTCCTGGATGGATACTCTCCACTGCACCGAGACCGGGCGGCTTCAGCGCAGAGTCGCAATCTCTGGAGTCCGTCTCCCTGTTCACAACCGCAAAAAGGCCGGTTTCTGAGAGCAGGTGAGGTGCACGCCTGTCAGCCCGATTCACATACAACAACCCCTCTTTCTTCAGCGTCAATGTTTCCAGCTCTCTGCCACAGTTCACCTCTATCAGGTGCAGGTCTCGCCCCATCAGCACCGCTACAATGTCCTGGTACATGCAGAGGCTGGTGAGAGCGCCACGTGTCGCCAAGCAGCCGTCTGCCAGTTTGTACACCTGCCGCAGCATCCCGTCGTCCTGCAGAAGACACACCCACCCTGTGCTGAGCAGCAGCAGCAAGCCTCCACAGGCCGTGGGGTTGAAGTCGTAGATCTCAGGTGGTTCAAGAGTCGATAAATATCCCAAACAGTCCGTCACCATCCTCTTTAGGTCAGACTCTTGGGTTGAAAGCCTTTTTAGGGGGGCGCTTTTACACGTGGTGCTGACTGTGAAGGAATCGTGATGAGGGGACCAGGAGAGAAAACACTTGGAGGTGCTTGTCAGAGGCTTCACCTCCACATCAGGAAGGAGGTGTACAAATTCACCTGAGCTGACCACGGTGAATTTAGGATTGTTGTGGAGGGCGATTTTCACTCCCCCCAGGCTGACGGACCCCTCCTCCACCTCGAAGTGACGTCTGCAAACACAGTACCTCAACTTGTTCCTCCGGGAGCTGAGGGCAGGGGTGCTTTCTGAGGGCGGCCTCTCCTCACACCAGATGATGAGGTTGGAGCAGGCACAGACGGACACCACTCTCGCACTGGGGCTGTTGCACAAATTGGACGTTTGCAGGAGATGCCAGCCAGCTTTGCACTCCTGGAATCTCCAAAACTCGGCTTTTCCATTCTCATAAACCACCGCCACGGCTGCCGCGTCTCTGCTGCTGTTCTGATAGTCCAAATACAAAACATCCACGATGGTGGGCACGGTGCGTGTCGACCGCAAATCCAGCTTCTTCTGGTTCTGGGCAAGGTGGGGTCTTTCATACTTGTCCAAAGTCACGAGACCGACCTGAGGCTCGCGGAGGATGGCATGAACATGACGTCCGTCTGGGCTCAGCCGAACGTTTGACAGGCTGTTTGTGAGCTCGTTACTAGTCACTTTAAGGATCTCAGTCAGCTCCTTACCGCCAGTATAGTCCCCGAAATCTGACAGTTGCTTCAACACCAACCGCGCCATAACTCCCCGTAATGTAGCTTGTAAAAGAAGCACTAGCCTGCTAGCTTGTGCGGCACATAAATCTCACCACGGGCTCCGGAGAGACGAACCGAGAGGCATCCCGTTATAGGTTCCTAAGAGAGGCTTCATCTCCTTGTTAACGTCCGTGCGGAAGGATACATCCTCCGACAGCCTTCCACCCGGGTAACCCCATGTCGGTAGACCACAACAGTGCTGAACTGCTAGCTGACAGTCAACGCTGAAAAAAGTTTTAAGAGCAACTCGAGAAAGGCACTTTACACATTCCGATGCTATGCTAGCAGAAACTCCCCTTGACATCACGGGATTGGTAATTTCCGGATACTGACGACGATTTGCACAAAAGGAGAACAAAGATCGTTTAGAGGCGGAGAGATGAGCAACTGCCGCTGCACACTAGTCTTCAGTCAGCTCGTTCGCCCGTCTCGTGAGGCGGGTTTTAGTCAAAGTTACACATCACAACATCTTTGCGTTGGAAATACAAATTGTACTTTAGAATCAGAATCAGAACCGTTTATTGCCAAGTACGTTACACATACAAGGAATTTGACTTGGTGAATGGTGCATAACAATAAACAATGAACACAGTGCAATAATCAAGACATAATTAAAGAATAGAAATAGTGGCTATCTCTCTCTCTCTCTCTCTCTCTCTCTCTCTCTCTCTCTCTCTCTCTATCTGACAAATGAGTAATAAAACACATGTTCTACTGTTTATCTCATGCTGGATTAATAATAATATAATATTATATAATAATAACCTATAGTTGTATAGGCTATTATTAGCAATTTTGTTTCAGCAGTAGTAAAACATGTTGGTGCATAATTAAGTGTTTTAGGTTTAGCACCTTAGAAAGCAGAAAAAAGTCACAGTAACAATATTTCTACATTTTTGCTTTTTTTTTAATGTATAACTTTATGGTGTATTTTTCTCTGATTGATTCTGCAGCATGCCTAACAACAGTTTTCATTGCCATCTGCAGTTCTGGAGATGTCTTGTCCATCCAGAATTGTGCACATCTTTTGCATCTTTTGTCATGTTCAGTGGCAAAAAGGTTGTCATGAACTAAGTTTTCAGTCCGTTCAATCTGGGGTGTGCTTTTGTTTGAAGTCATTACCTTGCTTTGAATAGTCAATGATCTGTCAATACATTGATTCAGGTGTTGACCCCCATTGAAAAACAGTGGAAAACTGAGGGAATACTGAGGAAAGTCTGATTAAACATTGGGTCACAGCTATAGCAGTGTTTAGGTGTTGAAGCGTATATATGCTGAACAAGACACTGAACTGCTTTCAGATCTTATATATTTCTAAAATGCACATCTAAGATGATGTGCAGTAATGATGGCACTATTTAGCTGACAACAGCCTCAATAGGTGAGTTCAAAACCATATCTTGATCAGCACACATTAGGAACTGTGCTGTCCTTGTCTGATTTGACAGCATATTTAAATGATGTTGTTAAAGCTAAATCTGTATGAAAACCAGTTTTATCTCCAGGCAAGAATTCATCTTAACTGAATGAAACTGAGGAACTGTTCCTGTACGTATACTTCTTTCATTTTGGCAAGAGGCTGTGAAAACAGTGTGTGAATGTCTAAACAGCTGGACTGATATCAACCTGCCAATCTGACTCAGAAGTAAGAGCCTTTGACAAGTGATGCTGGTGAGGCTTAGATGAGTCTGTGACGGACAGCCTGGTGGGCTTTGCAGGGACCATCTAACTTACCACAGAGGTAATAAAAACTGTTTTGTCTTTGAAGGAAAAAAACATTCAATAAAATGGGAGTGAAAGGCTCAGTAGTGACTCACAGTGTAATTGAATTTCTGCCTGCTGTGAAGGGCTTGTTTATTACAATTGCCTCTCAATGGCTCTCAACATGACAACGGCTGAGCCGGACGGTTTGCAGCTAACGGTGCTAACAGCGCTAACAGTGCAAACCACGGCAAAAGTGCTGACAGAGCTAACAGCGTTTACCTGAGGGGGAACAGGAGGCTCAACAAAGCACATGCAAGCTCGGATAACAACACACACAGAGTGACTTTATTCTCTGCTCAGGTAGACATTACTCATATTTACATAGCAAATAGTTGTTTGCTGCTATATTAATGTTCTGAATCCTGGAAATTGCACATTTAACTAACTTGAAACAAACAAACGTTCCTGGTTTGATTACGTCTTCTTAACTGCACTTTCAGAGATTGAATTCCTTGTTTTAGAAATCCTGTTCTCCACAGAGATCTTTATACATGCCCACCAATGAAGATTGAATGAGGAGACCGATATAAAGTAAAGGACATGTTGCTTGTATTTAATGATTTTAAATGAATTAGCAGACAAGCTTGTGATACCAATAACATAATCAAATAATGGGGAAAGTTCAACTGTCTCCATCTCACTGCCTCACAAACATTCAAAGCACAAACCTTTTGTTTGCACATCTCGGTCGCATGTTTGTCTTTTAAACCTTAACGAATGGAAAAAGATACAACTTCTTCCATATTTTCTCTTAAATTTAGAGGAATACTTGGATCATTTTGCTGGTGTCAGGTTTGTAAGTTTAATTTCACTTCATCGCCAGGAGGTGGCAGTATTGATTTTCACTCACTGCACGTGGGTGACTACAAAGGACAATGAGTTGAAATATCTACATAAGTGCTCACAGGGGTAGAGTTAAATATGGATAATGTTGTTCTTCATCATTTCTTCTTTTCTCTGTGACGCTGAGAGCACAGATGCATTGAGTAGTAGTCCAAAGCATCACAGACAACACTCACTGTGGTTGTCAGTGAATACCACATGGCTGTATAGAGCATCACAAGGCATCTAAACTAAATTTGTCCATTACATCTCATGACTTTCATTGTTCCTGTTTTACCTCACTGATTCTCTCCAGTTAAATATACATCCGGCTGTGGGGGTCCACTGAGAACTGAAGGGCCTTGAGTATTTTTCGAGGGATGTGAAAACCTACATTTTCCCAATCTAATGAGTCAAAGTAATTATTTTCTGGTTGTAAAAGTAGCATCTTTAGCCCCTTTTCTTCAGGTTCACATGTTCTTTATTCTATTACTGGCTGAAAGTAGGTCATTGCCTTGGGAACAAGCTAGGAAACGTGTGAAATGTGTTTTTTTTTACTTGCTAGTTCTTTTAAACTTTGTCTGACCTAACTAGCTGAACAATAACATGAATGAGATTGCTTAAGGTTGCTCTGTTAAAGCTGGTGCCTTTCTTGCTTTCAGCTCTCGTATATTTATGTATGGACTGTCTTTTGCCAGAAAGCACTTAAAGGGATGCATGTCGCCCATTCATATTGGTGTGTGTGTCCATGTATTTATGTCCTATTATGTCTCTGTGTCACAGCTGATAAAGTATATGGAGGCAGTATGTTATTCAAACAGTATGTTCAAGCCCAGCCGCCTCCAGACAGGCTTGCCTTGGACAGAAAACACCCTCTATTAGAGAGTGTGTTTAGTCTGATGTGCCTGTGTACAGGAAGATAAAATGCTTGTCTGGAGACTCGAGGGGGATGGAGGCAGGGGAGATTTCCTTTTTGAGTTATGTGGTGTAGAAAAGAAAACCAATTTCTGCAAATGTTGCTGCTCAGGGTAAAGAAGATGGGTAGGCTGTCAGCTTTGCATCCCCTCAGGAAAGAATGATGTTAATTTGAGCACAACTTATGAGAAAGAAATGTTTGCGTGTGTGAGAAAAGAAAGATATTAGTCAGTCTGTTTGGGGTTTGAGTGAGATGCCACTTCACTGTATGAAAGTTGCAGCTGCCTGTCAGCCTCCTGTCTCCAGTGAGAGCAGGCAGATATTACTGTCAGTGTGCTCTCACTTTTGTAAAGCTGTCATGTGTGCAGCCGCTTGCTCACCGTATCTCCCTTTGCTTCTGTAAGTCAATTCACTGGAGCATTTTGTTTTGAGCTTCAAGGGTCTTTCATTGACTCTCCTCTGTGCTGTCATATAGCATAGCATTGTGGGAGGTGAAGTCATCTATCTTTTTTCCCCCCCTCTCACACATACTGTATCTTTTATACCGTATATACATCAAAGAAAAGCAAGACCTGAAGTGGAGGAATGGAGGAAAGATGGAGACGAATAAGAACTTTGCCCATTATTGCTGACATCTGAAATTCATTTGAATGATTTCACCACAGCACAGCCCATCAAAACTCGGCAATAAGATCTTTATATTAAGTTCTAATTTATTTGAGTGGCATAGATTTCAAACGTAATGCAGTTAAATTGTCAGATTTTCAGTGTGTTTGTGCTAGACAGAAAACAGAAAGCAAAAGACACAGGAGTATTCGCCAATAAACTCAGATGAAATGAAGCAAACAATCTGAAAATGTAATAACCACACTGCTCTTCAGAAATGATTTTCTCTCCAGGGCTTCATTCCCGACACTGATGGATTCCTTTAAACTGTAACTAATTTTCAGTGAGATTATATTCGAACACCTGAGCACATACTGAATATCAGCAGCGTCTCTGGAATATTGACTGCTAAATGATTTTTGTATACGAGCACAAAGAGCGTCAATTCATGTTAGACTGGTGGTCGTTCAGAGAGGAGAGACGATGCGAAGAGAGGGAAGCTTAGCGGTTCATTAGGAAGACAAACAAACTTGTAGATAAATGAGAGTTATGATTGACTCTTTGGCCAAGATGGCCGAGCTATAACAAGCTGGGTGAGATGTAAAATAGTCATTTTTGGAATTTGGTTTGTTATTTTGGCGTAATGAAGAAAGTTGATGGGACAGAGAGAAAAGTTGTAATGAGGATGTCCCAATATTAATGAAATCCTTGAAATGAAACTTCTGATGTTCCTCAAAATGAGAGGTCAGCAGCGCTGTCACTATAACAGATACCCTGCCTCATGGGCTGAATAGAAAACATGCCATTTACAATAGGCTGCCCCTCTGCATTCAGCACTGGCTCTTTTCTCAATGATCCATACCCCGACTCTGAGCATAAATAGCATTAGCTCTCACATCACACTATTAATCGGATTCATGGCCCCTGGCTCATTGCCGGATGTGCTGATGTTTTGTGAGCCCTTTGCTTCTTTCCTATCTCTGCATCTCTCATTCTGTCCTGTCCTCATAAAGACACACACACACACACACACACACACACACACACACACACACACACTTGGCCACAGAAGTGTAGTATCATTAGTGACCACAGATTGGCAGTATCTGTATTGGCTTTGATGCTACAGTAGCCGAGGTTGATCATGTGAGGATAAGAGGTCATGCCATCACTGTTCTTACACACTGAACTGTTAA